AACTAGAACAGAAATAGAACAGTACTGGTACAGACATACAACAGAACTATAACAACGAAAACTGAACTAGAACAGAACTAGAACTGTATTAGAACTGAACTAGAACTGAACTAGAACTGAACTAGAACTGAACTAGAAGTGAACTAGAAGTGAACTAGAACTGAACTAGAACTGAACTAGAACTGAACTAGAACTGAACTAGAACTGAACTAGAACTGAACTAGAACTGAACTAGAACAGAACTAGAACTGAACTAGAACTGAACTCGAACTAGAACTGAACTAGAACTAGAACTGAACTAGAACTAAATGAGAACTGAACTAGAACTGAACTAGAACTGAATTAGAACTGAACTAGAACAGAACTAGAACATAACTAGAACAAAACTAGAACTGAACTAGAACTGAACTAGAATAGAACTAGAACAGAACTAGAACAGAACTAGAACAGAACTAGAACAGAACTAAAACAGAACTAGAACAGAACTAGAACAAAACTAGAACTGAACTAGAACTGAACTAGAAATGAACTAGAACTGAACTGCACTAGAACTGAACTAGAAGAACTGAACTAGAACTGAACTAGAGCCGAACTGAAATTGAATTAAAAGAGAATTAGAACAGAACTATAGCTGAACCAGACCTAGTTTATAGTCTAGTCTGAAGTGTAGTATATAGTCTAGTTTATAGTCTAGTCGATAGTCTAATCTATAATCCAGTATACAGTCTAGTCTATAGTATAAGCAATACTAGTCTAGTTTAAGTCTAATCTATAGTCTAGTCTATAGTCTAGACTATAATGTAGTATGCAGTCTAGTTTATAGTCTAGTATGTAGTCTAGGTCATAGTCTATAGTCTATTCCCTAGTCTAGACTATAGTTTAGTCTATAGTCTAGTATATAGTCTCGTCGATAGTATAGTCTATTGTATAGTAGTCTAGGCGATAGTGTAGTTTATAGTCTAGTCTACAGTCTAATCTATAGTGTAGTCTATAGTTTAGTCTATTCTCTAGTCTAGAATGTGGTCTAGTCTATAGTCTAGAATGTAGTCTAGTTTGTATTCTATTCTATAGTCTAGACTATAGTCTTGTCTATTATCTATTCTATAGTCTAGTATGTAGTCTAGTCTATAGTCTAGTATGTAGTCTAGTCTGCAGTCTAGTCTATAGTACCTTTTATAGTCTAGTCTATAGTTTTGTCTATAGTCTAGTCTACAGCCTAGTTTATAGTCTAGTCTATAGTATAGTCTGTAGTCTACTCTATAGTCTAGCCAATAGTGTAGTCTATAGTCTGGTCTATAGTCAAGTCGATAGTCTATTCTATGGTATAGTCTATAGTCTAGTTTACAGTTTAGTGTATACTCTATTAGATTTTCTTATAGAGCATCTACTGCAAGGTAGATTTTCTTATAGGAAAATCATCCGCCAGGTAGATTTTCTTACAGAAGATCTTCTGCCGAGTAGATTTTCTTAATGACTCATTTATTAAATATATTCTGTCTAGTAGAAAGTAGATTTTCTTATAGAAAACCTCTACCAAGTAAATTTTCTTATAGAAATTCTTTTGTCAAATACATTTTTAAAGAAATTCTTCTCCCTAGATTATCAACCATTCATTATTTTTCAAAAATTTTAAATTAAAATTAATACATCAATCCTAATTTAACAAATTATTTAATTACATAGTCTAATCATCCAATTTTAGTTAAATAATTTTATTAATCTTTTTTAAATTTAATTTAATAACTTTTTTAATGTATGAAACTTATGCATGACTTTTTTTTAATAATTTTAAATATTCTATATTTGTTTATTTTGTTAAATCTATATATAATTTATTTATTTATTTTTTTTATTAAATAATCTAGCAAATATTTTGTTTTTTTCTTATTAATCAGTCAATAATTTATTTATTTAATTATTATGTTTTTTAATTGTTGTTAAACCTTAGTAGAACTTGTGTAAATTATAAAATGTTTATTAAGTTTGTTTTTCGCTAGGTACTTTGATTTAAATTATAATAGAAATAAAAAATTGCAGGTTTAAAAATTTAATACAAAAGTAATTGGTTAAAAACTTAAATAATAAATTTTAAATTAAATTTAGAATCAAATTTATAATTTAAATGTTCTTTTCTTTATAATAAAGTTAAAATTATCGTTTTATTTGTACTCGTCGTACTCGATCCTAGGGTGTTGCCATGTTAAATTGATAGTTCCGCTTATACTCGTTGCACTGAAGCACACCAGAGCCTCTGGAGTGGCAAGTAAACCCACGACACATCGGCAAATAGCCTACCGAGCCAACCCAAACTAGAACTGAAGTAAAATTAAGAGGAATTGTGCAAAAACTGAGTTGAATTCAACCAGAATTGAGCTAGAACTGAGCTAGAACTGAAATACGACTGAACTAGATCTGAACTAGGACTGAAATAGAACTGAACAAGATCTGCATTTGAACTAAAACTGAACTAGAACAAAATTTTAACTAAACTAAACCAATTTAAATAGAAGTGAACTAGAACTGAACTAAAACTGAACTAGAACTGAACTAGAACCGAACTAGAACCGAACTAGAACTGAACTAGATCTGAACTAGAACTAAAACGGAACTAGAACAGAACTAAAACAGAACTGAAACAGAACTAGAACCGAACTAGAACAAAACTAAAACGGAACTAGAATAGAACTAGACAGAACTAGAACAGAACTGAACTAAACTAAAACTGAACGAAAACTGAACTAGAACTGAACTAGAACTGAACTAGAACTGAACTAGAACCGAACTAGAACTGAACTAGATCTGAACTAGAACAGAACTAGAACAGAATGGAACAGAACTAGAACAGAATGGAACTGAACTAGAAGAGAACTGAACTAGAACAGAACTAGACAGAACTTGAACAGAACTAGAACAGAACTAGAACAGAACTAGAACAGAACTAGAACTAAAACAGAACTAGAACAGAACTAGAACAGAACTAAAACAGAACTAAAACAGAACTAATCAAAAAACTGGTCTATATACTAGTCTATATAATAGTCTATTGACGAGAAAAAAACTGATCTATAGACTAGTCAATAAAGTAGTCCGTGGACTAGTCCATAGACTTGTACAAAGACTAGTCGATAGACTTGTATATATAGTAATCCATGGACTAGTCAAAAGACTGATATATAGATTAATCAATTAAAATGAACTAGTCCATGGACTTATCAATAGACTAGAAATAATACTTGTACATAGACCAGCCGAAAGACTGGTCTATAGTCTAGTCGATATTCTAGTCGATGGACTAGTCGAAAGACTGGTCTATCGACTAGTGAATATACTAATGCGTAGACTAGTCGTGCTACTGATCAATAGAATTGTACATAGACTAGACGAAAGATTGCTCTATATTATATAGACTTGTGAAGGCACTAGTCCATAGACTATTCATTGGACTAGTATATAGACTAGTCGAATGACTGGTCTATAGACTAGTCAATATACTAGTCCATGGATTAGCCAAAAGACTGATCTATAGGTTAGCTAGTACATGGACTAATCAATAACTAGTCCCGAGACTCGTCCAAACAGAATGGAACTGAACTAGATCAGAACTAGAACTGAACTAGAACAGAACTAGACAGAACTTGAACAGAACTTGAACAGAACTAGAACAGAACTAGAACAGAATAGAACTGAACTACGACTGAATTAGAATTGAACCCGAACTGAACTACAACTGAACTCGAACTGAACTAGGACTAGAATTGAAATATAACAGAACTTGAACTAGAACTAAAATAGAACCGAAATAGAATTGAACTCGAACTGAACTCGAACTGAACTAGAACAGAACTAGAACTGAAATGGAAGGGAACTAGAACTGAACAGGAACTGAATGAGAACTGAAGTAGAGCTGAACTAGAACTGAACTAAAACTGAACTAGAACTGAACTAGAACTGAACTAGAACTGAACTAGAACTGAACTAGAACTGAACTAGAACTGAACTAGAACTGAACTAGAACAGAACTAGAATTGAAATATAACAGTACTTGAACTGAATTAGAGTTGAACTAGAACTGAACTAGCATAGAACTAGATTTGAAGTATATAACAGAACTTGAACTTGTACTAAACTTAAACTGAACTAGAACTAAAATAGAAATAAAATAGAACTGTTCTAGAACTAGTACTAACCAAAAACTGAACTAGAATCTCAATAGAATCTAAATGGATACTTCGGCCCTGTACTAAAATAGAACTGAACTCCAACTGACAAAAAACTGAACTAGAACTAAACCAGAACAGAACTAGTACTGAGCTATAATTGAACGAGAACTGAATTAGAACTGAAATAAAAGGGAACTGGAACTGTACTGGAACTGAATTAGAACTAAACAAAATCTGAAATAGAAGTTAACTAGAACTAAACTTGAACTGAACTGAAGTAGAACTCAACTAGAACAGACCAAGAACTGAATTAAAACTGAACTAGTTCAGCTCCTTTAGAGAATTTCCTGTAATTGCTTACAATTTAGTTTACTAATGATGTGTCAATTTAATTTTAATAAATGTATTTGTAAAGTTCATAAGATAACCCTATTTTATAAGTTGCTATTATAGAAAAGATACAAATGAATACACAATAAAAACCGAAATATTAATTATATTTTTCAAATAAATTTCCAGTCTTTGTTTTTCTTTTATTCAAATAAAATTAAACATTTAAGTAATGAATAATTACAAAAGCAAAAGAAAAAGAATAATAAAAAAGATTATTAAAAACTAAAAAAAATATAATAATTCTTAAACTAAAGATAAAACATTAAACAATATAACTTTAAGAACTAAATTAATATTTTGAAAATAACGCCTGCATTAACTCAAAACTATAAAATAAGAAAATAAATCATTAAGTTTAATACATATTTAAATGAAATGTAAATTATTTAAATTCAAATTTAAATTAATTTAGTTAATTTTTGTTTGTTCTTATATTTCTTTTTGTTGTTTTTTTTTAAATTGTTAATTGTTATTTTTATTATAATTATTATTTGTTTTGTTCTCTCCTAACATTATACACAATTCTAAATTATTATTAATTATTAAATTTAATTAATTATTTACACTAAAGTCTGGCTGAATTATAAATAAGGATAATGATAAGATTTATTCCGATAAAAACCATCCAAAAGTCCCGAATAGTTGTACGCTGTTGTTGTGATTTTAAAATTTGTCAGCCATTGATGGTTATGAAGTGTTGCAGAGTGGGAGTGCATGCAAAAGATACAAAAATTAACAAGAATTAGTATTTTGTTTTTATAAATATTTCAATTATTTCCTTTAGAAATTAAATAATTTCCTTTTTTAAAACATAAAAGTTTAATTTTATTTTTATCCTGCTGTTTTATTAAGTACTTTAGCTGTCTTTGCACATTTTTACTTAGGATTTATTTTATTTACATTGGATTTTAAAAAGAAATTTCCATTTAAAATGATAAGCTGATGGTTCTTTTCCTAAAAAGTTTTAAAATAGAAAGGCAATTATGATTTCGAAAACATTTCCCTGGAATTTACTTAAATCTCTCATAATAAACAATTCCAATGAAATATTTTTTTTGTTAATAATTTGTCAAAAAGTACACTAACCAGTTCTGGAATAGTAATACCAAAGTTCTTATGGCTAACACAAGTTACTTATTGGACTGGATAAAGGTAGTCTAAGGATTCTAATAGGGACGCTAACGGCACATTGCTCAATAAAGGTTTTGGTTAGCAAGTTGGATCTGATAAAGTGGGATTGATCTGATAAATATTTTGGGTTGAAACCACTTGAGAATAGAACTGTTTCTGGTAAGCGAGTGGTGGTGTTTCTTTTTTGGTCCACCACCCCTTCTTAACCCAAACACAAATCGAAATGAACTGAAAGTGAATCAAAACTGAACTTGGGCTGAACTAGAACAGAACTAGTATTGAACTAAAACAAGAACTGAACTAGAACTCAAAAAGTACTGAACTAGAACGGAATTACAAAAGATCTAGAACAGAACTAGAACTGAACTAGAACAGAACTAGAACTGAACTAAATCTGAACTAGAACTGAACTAGAACTATACTTGAACTGAATATAACTGAACTAGAATTTATCTAGAACAGGACTAAAACTGAACTAGAACTACACCTGGACTACAACTGAACTAGAATTGAACTAGAACTGATTTAGAATTGAAATGGAACTGAACTAGAAATGAACTAGAACTGAAATAGAACTGAACTAGAACAGACCTAGAATTCAACTAAAACTGAACTAGAACAGATCTGAAACAGAAATAGGACAAAACTAGAAGAGAACTAGAACAGAACTATAACAGAACAAAAACTGAACTAGAACAGAACTATAACAGAACTAGAACTGAACTAGAACTGAACTAGAACTGAACTAGAACTGAACTAGAACTGAACTAGAACTGAACTAGAACTGAACTAGAACTGAACTAGAACTGACTAGAGCTGAACTAGAACTGAACTAGAACTAGAAATGAACTGAAACTGAACTAGAACTGAACTAGAACTGAACTAGAAACTGAACTAGAACTGAACTAGAACTGAACTAGAACTGAACTAGAACTGAACTAGAACTGAACTAGAACTGAACTAGAATGAACTAGAACTGAACTAGAACTGAACTAGAAACTTGAAACTAGAACTGAAACTAGACTGAACTAGAACTGCACTAGAACGAACTAGAAACTGCACTAGAACTGAACTAGAACTGAACTAGAACTGAAACTAGACTGAACTAGAATGAACTAGAACTGAACTAGGAACTGACAGAACTGAACTAGAACTGAACTAGAAACTGAACTAGAACTGAACTAGAACTGAACTAGAACTGAACTAGAACTGAACTAGACACTGAACTAGAACTGAACTAGACCTGAACTAGAACTGAACTAGAACTGAACTAGAACTGAACTAGAACTGAACTAGAACTGAACTAGAACTGAACTAGAACTGAACTAGAACTGAACTAGAACTGAACTAGAACTGAACTAGAACTGAACTAGAACTGAACTAGAACTGAACTGAACTAGAACTGAACTAGAACTGAACTAGAACTGAACTAGAACTGAACTAGAACTGAACTAGAACTGAACTAGAACTGAACTAGAACTGAACTAGAACTGAACTAGAACTGAACTAGAACTGAACTAGAACTGAACTAGAACTGAACTGAACTAGAACTGAACTAGAACTGAACTAGAACTAAACTAGAACTGAACTAGAACTGTACTAGAAGTGAACTAGAACTGTACTAGAACTGTACTAGAACTGAACTAGAGCTGAACTAGAGCTGAACTAGAACTGAACTAGAGCTGAACTAGAACGAAACTAGAACGGAACTAGAACAGAATTAGAATTGAACTAGAACAGAACTAGAACAGAACTAGAACAGAACTAGAACAGAACTAGAACAGAACTAGAACAGAACTAGAGCTGAACTAGAACTGAACTAGAGCTGAACTAGAACTGAACTAGAACAGAACTAGAATTGAACTAGAACAGAACTAGAACAGAACTAGAACAGAACTAGAACAGAACTAGAACAGAACTAGAACAGAACTAGAACAGAACTAGAACAGAACTAGAACAGAACTAGAACAGAACTAGAACAGAACTAGAACAGAACTAGAACAGAACTAGAACTGAACTAGAACTGTACTAGAACTGAACTAGAGCTGAACTAGAACTGAGCTAGAACATAACTAGAACGGAACTAGAATTGAACTAGAACAGAACTAGAACAGAACTAGAACAGAACTAGAACAGAACTAGAATAGAACTAGAACTGAACTAAAATAGAACTAGAACAGAACTGGAACAGAACTAGAACTGAACTAGAACTGAACTAGAACAGAACTAGAACCGAACTAGAACTGAACTAGAACTTAACTAGAACAGAACTGGAACTGAACTAGAACTGAACTAGAACAAAAATAGAACTGTACTAGAACTGAACTAGAGCTGAACTAGAACTGAACTAGAGCTGAACTAGAACATAACTAGAACGGAACTAGAACTGAACTAGAACTAAATTAGAACTGAACTAGAAATGAAGTAGAACTGAACTAGAACTGAACCAGAACTGAACTAGAACTGAACTAGAACTGAACTAGAACTGAACTAGAACTGAACTAGAACTGAACTAGAACTGAACTAGAACTGAACTAGAACTGAACTAGAACTGAACTAGAACTGAACTAGAACTGAACTGAACTAAACTAGAACTAAACTAGAACAGAACTAGAACAGAACTAGAACAGAACTAGAACAGAACTAGAACAGAACTAGAAGAGAACTAGAACAGAACTGGAACAGAACTAGAACAGAAGTAGAACAGAAGTAGAACAGAACTGGAACAGAACTGGAACAGAACTAGAACAGAAGTAGAACAGAAGTAGATCAGAACTAGAACAGAACTTAAACAGAACTAAAACAGAACTAGACCAGGACTAGAACAGAACTAGAATAAAATTAGAACAGAACTAGAACTGAATTAGAACAGAAATAGAAGTTAATTAATTTCTTATAAAAGATCATCTACTATGTGAATTAAAAAAAAAAACTTTAGAGGAATACAAAATTTGCAACTTTCTTTCTAAAATCCAACTTTATAAAAACCATTAAATTTGTGCTTACAAAGAAAATAAAACTTAAATTATAAAAATAAAAAACTAAAAAATAAATAATAATAATAAAATAGATATCGATATGTTTTTTCTTTGTTTTTCTTTTAATAAAATACATCAATTTATGTACAAGTACATGCATAAAAAAGCATTTGTAAGTTTTGTGCCAAAAAAGGCTTCTTTATAATTTATAATAATAATAACTGTTTACGGACTGCTTTTTTCCCCGTTAAAAAAAAACATATAAAAAAATATTGTGTGTGTTTTTTATTTAGTTTAAGATATAAAAAAATAAAAAAAAAATATATATTTATATGTATGAAAAAAAAAAACAAAACAAAAATAATTCTCACCTCCTTTAGGGAAATACAAAATATTTTAACACTCAATTTTCTTTCAATTTCATAAATCATTGATGGCTGTTGTTAAAAAAAAAAATATAAAAAAAAAAATAAAAAAAATATATATTTACAAAAGATTTTTTTGTGGAAGAATATTCAACAGTAAATAACGGGACCGATATTGGTGGGTATACTTGTTTAGTTTGCTTGGCTTTGAGGTGAATATAAATATCGGTTGGCGTATACTTACCACGCCCACCTTTATTCGCTCTTCATTTGAATTTGCTAGAAGTAGTAGATATAAAAAAAAAACAACAAAAACAACAAAAAACTTTGCTTCCCGTTGAGTTTGAAAATTTCAGGAATTCTTTTTTTTTTCTTTTCACAATTTTGATATAGAAATAGTTGGAGGATATTTTGAAATAAATTAAATTTTCTTTTTTGGGGGATATGAAAAAAAGATTTTCTTTTCTGTAATCTTTTTTTCCGAAATATTTTCAAAAAAAAAAATCCGTTTAAACACACACTTTCTGTAAACAAAAATTTAAAAAAAAATCCTTTTTTTGGGTTTTTCTGTTAAAGTAACTAATTTCTTTTTATTACTAAATTTCTACAGAACTTTGTATGAATATTAATTTAATAATTATTAATTTTTTTAGTATTATTGAATATATAGTTTTATATATGTTTGTGTGTAGATATTATACAGTGAGAATTTTGAAAATATAATGGAAACAGTTATTTAGAAAGAAATCTCAATTGATTTCAGTATTTTTTCTTAAATCAATTTCCATTCTATGTATTAACCCTCTCACTGTACATATAAATATATTGTTCGTTTCTTTTTAAATATAAATCAAGACCTAACGTTTTATATTAATCTAAATATTTTGTATATAGCAATAAAGTTAGTTTAAAAATAATCTCTTAGAATGTTGTGCAAAAAAGTCAACTTTCTGCAAAATTATTTTCAAACCTCTTTATCTTTTTATGTTAAATGTTTAAATATTTCAAGACTTTAATATATGTTCCTTTCTTTAATATTATATTTGTGTTAAATATCTCAAATTCAATAATTCAATTATATATTTCACTTAATAAATTGTTAAACTTGTTCAGATTAATGCTATTATTTGTATTAAAAACTTTTGTTAGGGTATAAATTCTTATGATTTTAGAAAATGTTTCAGGGAAATGCTGCTTGAAAACGTCAAAAAAAGTTCTACGAGAACTAGAACAGTACTAGAGAAGAACTAGAACAGAACAACAAAATTAAAACTAACCTAGAAGAGAACTAGCACTGAACTAGAAGAGAACTAGAAGAGAACTAGAACAGAACTAGAAATGAACTAGAACAGAACTAGAAATAGAACAGAACTGGAACAGAACTAGAACAGAACTAAAACAGAACTAGAACAGAACAGGAACAGAACTAAAACAGAACTACAACAAAACTAGAACTAGAACAGAACTAGAACAGATCTAGAACAGAACTAGAACAGAACTAGAACAGAACTAGATCAGAACTAGAACAGAACTAGAACAGAACTAGAATAGAACTAGAACAGAACTAAAACAGAACTAGAACAGAACTAGAACAGAACTAGAACAGAACTAGAACAGAACTAGAACAGAACTAGAACTAAACTAGAACTGAACTAGAACTGAACTAGAACAGAACTAGAACAGAATTAGAACAGAACTAGAACAGAACTAGAACAGAACTAGAACAGAACTAGTACAGAACTAGAACAGAACTAGAACAGTACTAGAACAGAACTAGAACAGAACTAGAACAGACTTAGAACAGAACTAGAACAGAACTAGAACAGAACTAGAACAGAACTAAAACTGAACTAGAACAGAACTATAATAAAACTAGAACAGAAATAGGTTCGAACTAGAACGTTACTAGATTTTAACTAGAACAGATCCTGAACATGACTACAATAGAACTAGAACAAAACTAGAACTGGACTAGAAGTGTTTTCAAACTGAACTAGAGCAGAACTAGAACTGACCTAGAACTGAACTAGAGCAAAACTAGAACTTAACTGGAACTGAATTAGAACTGAACTGTAATTGAACTAGAACTAGAGACAGAACTAGAACTGAACTTAAACTCGATCAGAACTAGAACGGAAGTAGAACTGAAAAGAACTAGAACGGAAGTAGAACTGAAAAGAACTAGAACACAACTAAAACTGAACTAGAACAGAACTAGAACTAAACTAGAACTGAACTAGAACTGAACTAGAACGGAAGTAGAACTGAAAAAAACTAGAACACAATTAAAACTGAACTAGAACAGACCTAGTACTGAACTAGAACTGAACAAGAACTGAACTAAAACTAGAACTGAACTAGAACTAAAATAGAACTGAACTGGAACTGAACTGGAACTGAACTAGAACTGTGAACTAGAACTGAACTAGAACTGAACTAGAACTGAACTAGAACTGAACTAGAACTGAACTAGAACTGAACTAGAACTGAACTAGAACTGAACTAGAACTGAACTAGAACTGAACTAGAACTGAACTAGAACTGAACTAGAACTGAACTAGAACTGAACTAGAACTGAACTAGAACTGGAACTGGAATAGAACAGAACTAAAACTGATCTAGAACATAACTGAAATACAACTGAACCAAAACTAAATACAACAGAACTAGAACTAAACTATAACAGAGCTAGAACAAAACTAGAAAAGAACTAGAACTGATCTAGAACTGAACTAGAACTAGAACTGAACTAGTGCTGAACTAGAACTGAACTAGAACTGAACTAGAACTGAACTAGAACTGAACTAGAACTGAACTAGAACTGAACTAGAACTGAACTAGAACTGAACTAGAACTGAAATAGAACTGAACTAGAACAGAACTAGAACTGAACTAAAACTGAACTAGAACTGAACTAGAACTGAACTAGAACTGAACTAGAACTGAACTAGAACTGAACTAGAACTGAACTAGAACTGAAATAGAACTGAACTAGAACAGAACTAGAACTGAACTAGAACAGAACTAGAACTGAACTAGAACTGAACTAGAACTGGAATAGAACAGAACTAAATCTGATCTAGAACATAACTGAAATACAACTGAACCAAAACTAAATACAACTGAACTAGAACTAAACTATAACAGAGCTAGAACAAAACTAGAAAAGAACTAGAACTGATCTAGAACTGAACGAGAACTGAACTAGAACTGAACTAGAACTGAACTAGAACTGAACTAGAACTGAACTAGAACTGAACTAGAACTGAACTAGAACAGAACTAGAACGGAACTAGAACTGTGAACTAGAACTGAACTAGAACTGAACTAGAACTGAACTAGAACTGAACTAGAACTGAACTAGAACTGAACTAGAACTGGAACTGGAATAGAACAGAACTAAAACTGATCTAGAACATAACTGAAATACAACTGAACCAAAACTAAATACAACAGAACTAGAACTAAACTATAACAGAGCTAGAACAAAACTAGAAAAGAACTAGAACTGATCTAGAACTGAACTAGAACTGAACTAGAACTGAACTAGTGCTGTACTAGAACTGAACTAGAACTGAACTAGAACTGAACTAGAACTGAACTAGAACTGAACTAGAACTGAACTAGAACTGAACTAGAACTGAACTAGAACTGAACTAGAACTGAAATAGAACTGAACTAGAACAGAACTAGAACTGAACTAGAACAGAACTAGAACTGAACTAGAACTGAACTAGAACTGGAATAGAACAGAACTAAATCTGATCTAGAACATAACTGAAATACAACTGAACCAAAACTAAATACAACTGAACTAGAACTAAACTATAACAGAGCTAGAACAAAACTAGAAAGAACTAGAACTGATCTAGAACTGAACGAGAACTGAACCAGAACTGAACTAGAACTGAACTAGTACTGAACTAGAACTGAACTAGAACTGAACTAGAACTGAACTAAAACTGAACTAGAACTGAACTAGAACTGAACTAGAACTGAACTAGAACTGAATTAGAACTGAACTAGAACTGAACTAGAACTGAACTAGAACTGAACTAGAACTGAACTAGAACTGAACTAGAACTGAACTAGAACTGAACTAGAATTGAACTAGAACTGAACTAGAACTGAACTAGAACTGAACTAGAACTGAACTAGAACTGAACTAGAACTGAACTAGAACTGAACTAGAACTGAACTAGAACTGAACTAGAACGGAACTAGAATAGAACTAGATTATAACTAGAAAAGAACAGGAGCTGAACTAGAACTAGAAAGGAACTAGTAATGAACTAAAACTGAGCTAAACAGAACTTACTAGCGCTGAACTAGAAGTGAACAAGAACTGAACTAGAACTGAACTGAAAGTATTAAAGCAGCACTGTACTAGAACTGTACAAAAGCTGTACTAGAACTTGGACAAAACCAGATTTAAACTAGAACTTCATAAGTAAGAACGAAACTAGAACTGAACTACAATATAACAAGAACCAAAATAGAACAGACCTAGAATTGAACTAGAACAGAACCAGTATTGAATTAGAGCTGAACTAGAATAGAGCCGGTATTGAACTAGCGCTCAACTAAAACTGAACTAGAAGAGAATTACTATTGAACCAGCGTCGAAATAGAAATGAATAAGAACTGATCTAGAACTGAACTAGAACAGAACTAGAATAGAATTAGAACATAATTGGATCAGATCTATAGCAGAACTAGAATAGAACTGGAACTGAACTAAAACATAACTATAAATGGAATAAAACAGTACTAGAATTGAACTAAAACTGAACCATAAGAGAACTATATACGTAAGACAGCCATAACTCCCTGTTGGAGTATATTATATCTGCTACATTTTCAGGTTTTGTTTTTATAGATAAATTCATTTTAATTGAGTGTTATATATGTATGTTAGTCGAATTATACATATTCTAAGGGGTAGTTTAGTAGGTTTGTTTTATTGTGATATATTCTGAGGAGCAAAATGTATTTTTTCTTCAACTTAAAAATTAAAGTTTTCTCTAATTTATATGTTTTCATGTTAGGGTTTTCTTAAAATTAGTAGATACATACACAATGTTAGTAGAATTAAAATATTAATTGAATTTTGTGTTTAAAAACATTACTTTTTGTTATAATATTTATGTTAAATATATTTTTCAGCTTAATTAAAATTTTGGAAAACAATCTTTGAAGAGGGAAAGGTTTAAAAAAGTATTTAAGTTTTTATGAGAAAATTATAAAATTTTTAAAAATTTTCTTAGACCTTAGTTTCGATGCAAAGTTGCCAATAACAATAAACGCAATTTAATTATTTTAATTAAAACTTTAATTAAACCTCTCCTTTCAAAATTTGTCTACCATTATGTTCTCTTAGCCTAAATCTCTGTATATAATTCTAATAAAAACTGTGTAACCTTTAAGAGGCGTCACAGTCAAGAAGACGAAAAACAAAAATCCGCTTAATAAAACCAACTAGTTTTTAGTTAATTATTCTTTAATCAATTTAATATTAATGCTTGTTTTTTAATATGTTTTATTGTAAGATAAATTGTATTCAATAGAAGAAGTAATAAATGGTCAATCGTTTTAAGAAATGTCTGTAGCATTTCCTTTTTATATTGTTAAAATATGTATGTTGTTTGCTTTCAAATGTTATATAAATTGATGATATATAGTAAGAATAATGTATAATTATTATTACTTATTTTTCATTTCTTTTAATTGAAGAAAAAAAATAATTAAACAAAAATTTGTTTGTTGATGTTTAAATGAATTTTTGTGGATTATGATAGGGATGTGATTTTTGATTACGATTTTTATTGTGTCTACCTCTATGCACCATATTATTGTAGCCAGGTCCAGCCGCAGGTATAGGAGCAGCAGGTGGACCCATGCCCAATTGATTCATAAAATGATTTGCTTTCATTTTGCCATGTTCTTCGGCCAAGCGTACGGTTAAAGGTTGTGAGGCACCTTCAGGTATAACATTATTTAAAGCTGAGATGGCTTCTTGGGCTTCTTCGCGTTTGTTAAATCTGTGAATGGGGAGGAGAATAATTGAAAGTTTTATGGAAAATCGAAATGAAAACACAGGTGGCAATTTAAAGAACTTGCAACGGAACTAGAATAGAACTAAAACAAAACTAGAACAGAACTAACGCTAAACTAACACTAAACTGGAACTAGAATAGAACAAAACTAGTGTAGAACTAGAACAGAACTAGAACGGAACTAGAACAGAACTAGAAAATAACTAGAACAGAATTAGAACAGAACTAGAACAGAACTAGAACAGAACTAGAACAGAACTAGAACAGAACTAGAACAGAACTAGAACAGAACTAGAACAGAACTAGAACAGAACTAGAACAGAACTAGAACAGAACTAGAACAGAACTAGAACATAACTAGAACAGAACTAGAACAGAACTAGAACAGAACTAGAACAGAACTAGAACAGAATTAGAACAAAACTAGTGTAGAACTAGAACAGAACTAGAACGGAACTAGAACAGAACTAGAACAGAACAGAACTAGAACAGAACTAGAACAGAACTAGAACAGAACTAGAACAGAACTAGAACAGAACTAGAACAGAACTAGAACAGAACTAGAACAGAACTAGAACAGAACTAGAACAGAACTAGAACAGAACTAGAAACAGAACTAGAACAGAACTAGAACAGAACAAGAAACAGAATTAGAACAAAACTAGTGTAGAACTAGAACAGAACTAGAACGGAACTAGAACAGAACTAGAACAGAACAGAACTAGAACAGACTAGAACAGAACTAGAACAGAACTAGAACAGAACTAGAACAGAACTAGAACAGAACTAGAACAGAACTAGAACAGAACTAGAACAGAACTAGAACAGAAACTAGAACAGAACAGAACTAGAACAGAACTAGAACAGAACTAGAACAGAACTAGAAAGAACTAGAACAGAACTAGAACAGAATTAGAACAAAACTAGTGTAGAACTAGAACAGAACTAGAACGGAACTAGAAAAAGAACAGAAAACTAGAAAACAGAACTAGAACAGAACTAGAACAGAACTAGAACAGAACTAGAACAGAACTAGAACAGAACTAGAACAGAACTAGAACAGAATTAGAACAAAACTAGTGTAGAACTAGAACAGAACTAGAACGGAACTAGAACAGAACTAGAACAGAACAGAACTAGAACAGAACTAGAACAGAACTAGAACAGAACTAGAACAGAACTAGAACAGAACTAGAACAGAACTAGAACAGAACTAGAACAGAACTAGAACAGAACTAGAACAGAACTAGAACAGAACTAGAACAGAACTAGAATAGTACTACAATAGAACTAGAACAGAACTAAAACAGAACAGAACTAGAACAGAACTAGTACAGAACTAGTACAGAACTAGTACAGAACTAGTACAGAACTAGAACAGAACTAAAACAGAACAGAACTAGAACAGAACTAGTACAGAACTAGTACAGAACTAGTACAGAACTAGAACAGAACTAGAAGAGAACTAGAATTAGAACAGAACTAGAACAGAACTAGAACAGAACTAGAACTAGAACAGAACTAGAACTAGAACTAGAACAGAACTAGAATAGAACTAGAACAGAACTAGAACTGGAATAGAACTGAACTAGAACTGAACTAGAACTGAACTAGAACTGAACTAGAACTGAACTAGAACTGAACTAGAACTAAACTAGAACTGAACTAGAACTGAACTAGAACTGAACTAGAACTGAACTAGAACTGAACTAGAACTGAACTAGAACTGAACTAGAACTGAACTAGAACTGAACTAGAACTGAACTAGAACTGAACTAGAACTGAACTAGAACTGAACTAGAACTGAACTAGAACTGAACTAGAACTGAGCTAGAACTGAACTAGAACTGAACTAGAACTGAACTAGAACTGAACTAGAACTGAACTAGAACTGAACTAGAACTGAACTAGAACTGAACTAGAACTGAACTAGAACTGAACTAGAACTGAACTAGAACTGAACTAGAACTGAACTAGAACTAGAACTGAACTAGAACTGAACTAGAACTGAACTAGAACTGAACTAGAACTGAACTAGAACTGAACTAGAACTGAACTAGAACTGAACTAGAACTGAACTAGAACTGAACTAGAACTGAACTAGAACTGAACTAGAACTGAACTAGAACTGAACTAGAACTGAACTAGAACTGAACTAGAACTGAACTAGAACTGAACTAGAACTGAACTAGAACTGAACTAGAACTGAACTAGAACTGAACTAGAACTGAACTAGAACTGAACTAGAACTGAACTAGAACTGAACTAGAACTGAACTAGAACTGAACTAGAACTGAAACTAGAACTGAACTAGAACTGAATAGAACTGAACTAGAACTGAACTAGAACTGAACTAGAACTGAACTAGAACTGAACTAGAACTGAACTAGAACTGAACTAGAACTGAACTAGAACTGAACTAGAACTGAACTAGAACTGAACTGAACTAGAACTGAACTAGAACTGAACTAGAACTGAACTAGAACTGAACTAGAACTGAACTAGAACTGAACTAGAACTGAACTAGAACTGAACTAGAACTGAACTAGAACTGAACTAGAACTGAACTAGAACTGAACTAGAACTGAACTAGAACTAGAACTAGAACTGAACTAGAACTGAGCTAGAACTAGAACTGAACTAGAACTGAACTAAAACTGAACTAGAACTGAACTAGAACAGAACTAGAACAGAATTAGAACAGAACTAGAACAGATCTAGAACTAGAACTAGAACAGAACTAGAACAGAACTTGAACAGAACTAGAACAGAACTAGAACAGAACTAGAACAGAACTAGAACAGAACTAGAACAGTACTAGAACAGAACTAGAACAGAACTAGAACAGAACTAGAACAGAACTAGAACAGAACTAGAACAGAACTAGAACAGAACTAGAAACAGAACTAGAAACAGAACTAGAAACAGAACTAGAACAGAACTAGAACAGAACTAGAACAAAACTAGAACTAGAACACAACTGGAACAGAACTAGAACAGAACTAGAACAGAACTAGAACAGAACTAGATCAGAACTAGAACAGAACTAGAACTGAACTAGAACAGAAATAGAACAGAAATAGAACAGAACTAGAACATAAGTAGAACAGAACTAGAACAGAACTAGAACAGAACTAGAACAGAACTAGAACAGAACTAGAACAGAACTAGAACAGAACAGAACTAGAACTAGAACTGAACTAGAATTGAACTAGAACTGAACTAGAACAGAAATAGAACAGAAATAGAACAGAAATAGAACAGAAATAGAACAGAAATAGAACAGTACTAGAATAGAACTAGAATAGAACTAGAACAGAACTAGAACAGAACTAGAACAGAACTAGAACAGAACTAGAACTGAACTAGAACAGAACTAGAACAAAACTAGAACAGAACTAGAACTAGAACAGAACTAGAACAAAACTAGAACAGAACTAGAACAGAACTGCAATTAAACTAGATCTAAATTAGCATTAAACTAGAACTGATATGTATGATCTTTTGCTATCTTAAATGGCCACCTGTGTTTCTTAATAAATTTTTTGATGGACTCACCTTACAAATGCTACACCTCTTGGTTTACCAGTTAATTTATCTCTGAGTATATTCTTTTGTACAATATTGCCATATTTACCAAAAATTTTTTCCAACTCATCATCGGTGATTGTACGCGGTAAATTGGTAACATATAAATTGGTATCCTTAATTGATTCACCACCCGGGCGGGCATATGAAACCTAGAAAAAAAGGAGAAGTTTTTAATTTTTGAATTTTGTAAAGATTAAATTGAAAATTCTTTAAGGGTTTGCAAATATTTTATAATTTTGAACTATCATCAAGCTATTTGTTGTTGTTTTATTTAAATTTTTAACACTTTGGAAAATCTTTTTCTATCTTCTATCTATTATGTTTTTATTTTGACTTTTCTTTTCAAAAATAGTAAAAAAAAATCTTTCAAATTCATTGCACGTCTTTGATGTTTAAATGTTCACGTACAAATCTCTTGCTCTAACACTCTCAGTGAGTGTGTGATACATCAGGTGAAATGTGTAGCCAATTGGCTGCCATTAAGCGTGACAATTTAAGTAATTAGTAGTTCACTACACAACACTACACTCAACTACAGTTTAGTATCGTTTTAACTAACTAAAAGCTAATGGTGAATGGGGGCGAAAACAAACTATTTCACAAAAGTTGTTTCGTTGGTTAGAACATTCTAACCGAACCACAACACCCACAATGCTATATTTACTATATGAATAAGAGTGATTAAAAGTTTGTATTCCCGAGTATTTGTTTCAATTTGAAGTAGAGTCAGTAATAAGTATACGTTTATGTTGTAACAGAAGAAAAAAAGATTAATTAGTTTTCCCTTGTACATGTATGAATGTATGGAATAGAGTGGCTTCGTCCATTGCCATAACAATTTCGATGAAGGATGACAAATAACAAAAGTAGTTATTGTGTTGCTAGAGGGCGGGGCGGCCACCAGCAGGAGTTGGGGCGAGAAAATGTTTGTATAATTGAATAAATGAACAATTAAATGATTGATGAAGGTGAAAATGTGTAAGCGAAAACTTACGTCCATTTTTCGGTATAAATGTTTTGTTGGCGAGAGAAAACATAAAATATCAAATCAAATTTAAGTAAAAATATGTTATGGGAATAATATTAAAGGAAAAAATATTTACAAAATTAAGAAATGAAAACATATAAATAAATTTAAGGAAAACAATTTAGTTAAAAGGACATTTTTAAAGAACTTTTGAAAAAAAATTCTTAAATGCATATTTTGCTTGAAAACAACCCACTGTCTGAAAATTACTGAACATGCCCTAAGAGTTTAAAGAAAATTTATTAGTTAACAGGACATTTTTAAAGAATTTTTTAAAAATCTTTATAAAACGAGTAATTTGATTAAACACACCCGCAGTCAGAAATGAACTGAACATACTCTATGATATATTATTGGAATTTGACAACTAATTTATGAAAACCTATAGAAACAGAAGTAAGATTAAAAATATAAAGTTAATATGAATTGAAAACTTAAATCAGTTAGATTAAACATACCCAGTGGCAACTCTGAACATACTCCCAAAACTAGAACTGAACTAGAACAGAACTAGAACTGAACTAGAACAGAACTAGAACTGAACTAGAACTGAACTAGAACTGAACTAGAACTGAACTAGAACTGAACTAGAACTGAACTAGAACTGAACTAGAACTGAACTAGAACTAGAACTGAACTAGAACTGAACTAGAACTGAACTAGAACTGAACTAGAACTGAACTAGAACTGAACTAGAACTGAACTAGAACTGAACTAGAACTGAACTAGAACTGAACTAGAACTGAACTAGAACTGAACTAGAACTGAACTAGAACTGAACTAGAACTGAACTAGAACTGAACTAGAACTGAACTAGAAACTGAACTAGAACTGAACTAGAACTGAACTAGAACTGAACTAGAACTGAACTAGAACTGAACTAGAACTGAACTAGAACTGAACTAGAACTGAACTAGAACTGAACTAGAACTGAACTAGAACTGAACTAGAACTGAACTAGAACTGAACTAGAACTGAACTAGAACTGAACTAGAACTGAACTAGAACTGAACTAGAACTGAACTAGAACTGAACTAGAACTGAACTAGAACTGAACTAGAACTGAACTAGAACTGAACTAGAACTGAACTAGAACTGAACTAGAACTGAACTAGAACTGAACTAGAACTGAACTAGAACTGAACTAGAACTGAACTAGAACTGAACTAGAACTGAACTAGAACTGAACTAGAACTGAACTAGAACTGAACTAGAACTGAACTAGAACTGAACTAGAACTGAACTAGAACTGAACTAGAACTGAACTAGAACTGAACTAGAACTGAACTAGAACTGAACTAGAACTGAACTAGAACTGAACTAGAACTGAACTAGAACTGAACTAGAACTGAACTAGAACTGAACTAGAACTGAACTAGAACTGAACTAGAACTGAACTAGAACTGAACTAGAACTGAACTAGAACTGAACTAGAACTGAACTAGAACTGAACTAGAACTGAACTAGAACTGAACTAGAACTGAACTAGAACTGAACTAGAACTGAACTAGAACTGAACTAGAACTGAACTAGAACTGAACTGAACTGAACTACTGAACTGAACTAGAACTGAACTAGAACTGAACTAGAACTAAACTAGAACTGAACTAGAACTAAACTAGAACTGAACTAGAACTGAACTAGAACTGAACTAGAACTGAACTAGAACTGAACTAGAACCAAACTAGAACTGAATTAGAGCTGAAATAGAACTGAATTAGAACTGAAATAGAACTTAACTAGAACTGAACTTTAACTGAACTAGAACTGAATTAGAACTGGACTAGAACTGAACTAGAACTGGAACAGAACTGAACTAGAACTGAACTAGAACTGAATTAGAACTGAACTAGAATTGAACTAGAACTGAACTAGAACTGAACTAGAACTAAAGTAGAACTGAACTAGAAATGAAAAAGAACAGAACACATTAACTAAACGCACCCACTATCAACACTGAACATACCTACGTAACATTTTTGACAACTCTCTGATAAGTGATATATAAAAGTTTATATTTTTGTAAAATCTTAAACCCAAACCAATGTAGTAAAACAAATTTATAAATATTGTTTCAATGAACTTTAAACTTAAACCAACTGTTCATAACTGACTTCCATATCTCTCATATGTAAACTTAAAATTAATTCAAAAGTCTATATTTTGAACCTCTTCATAAATAAGAATGTGTATATTAAATGTTAATAACTGTTACTAAAGTATTTTTGCATGTATGAAATAATAATAAAAACAAGGTAATAAAAATTCAAACATAATTTTTATAAATTAACCAACATTACAATGATGAATATGAGGTTTAAGTTGGCAAAAAATTCAGTTTATTTTGAGCTTACACTGAAAAAAATTAAAAAGTTTAAATTTACGTACAAGCGAACTAGAACAGAACGTGAAATGAAATAAAACTGAAGTACAACTGTACTAGAAATGAACGAGAACTGAATTAGAACTGAACTAAAACTGAACTAGAACTAGAACTGAACTAGAACGGAACTAGAACAGAACTAGAACAGAACTAGAACAGATCAAGAACATAACTAGAACAAAACTAGAACAGAACAGAACTAGAACAGAACTAGAACAGAACTAGAATAGAACTAGAACAGAAATAGAACAGAACTAGGACTGATACTAAAAATGAACCAGAACTGAACTAGAACTGAACTAGAACAGAACTAGAACTGAACTAGAACTGAACTAGAACTGAACTAGAACTGAACTAGAACTGAACTAGAACTGAAATAGAACTGAACTAGAACTGAAATAGAACTGAAATAGAACTGAAGAAAAGAACTAGCACTGAACTACAACAAAACTAGAACTAAACTAGAACTGAACTAGAACTAGAACTGAACTAGAACTGAACTAGAACTGAACTAGAACTGAACTAGAACTGAACTAGAACTGAACTAGAACTGAACTAGAACTGAACTAGAACTGAACTAGAACTGAACTAGAACTGAAATAGAACTGAAATAGAACTGAACTAGAACTGAAATAGAAATGAAGTAGAACTGAACTAGAACTGAAATAGAACTGAAATAGAACTGAACTAGAACTGAAATAGAAATGAAGTAGAACTGAAATAGAACTGAAATAGAACTGAACTAGAACTGAACTACAGCTGAATTACAACTGAACTAGAACTGAACTAGAAAACAACTAGAACAGAACAGAACTAGAACAGAACTAGAACAGAACAAGAACAGAAGTAGAACAGAAGTAGAACAGAACTAGAACAGAACTAGAACAGAACTAGAACAGAACTAGAACAGAACTAGAACAGAACAAGAACAGAACTTGAACAGAACTAGAACAGAAGAAGAACAGAAGTAGAACAGAACTAGAACAGAACTAGAACAGAACTAGAACAGAACTAGAACAGAACTAGAACAGAACTACAACAGAACTACAACAGAACTACAACAGAACTACAACAGAACTAGAACAGAACTAGAACAGAACTAGAACAGAACTAGAACAGAACTAGAACAGAACTAGAACAGAACTAGAACAGAACTAGAACAGAACTAGAACAGAACTAGAACAGAACTAGAACTGAACTAGAACTGAACTAGAACAGAACTAAAACAGATCTAAAACAGAACTAGAACAGAACTAGAACAGAACTAGAACAGAACTAGAACAGAACTAGAACAGAACTAGAACAGAACTAGAACAGAACTAGAACAGAACTAGAACAGAACTAGAACAGAACTAGAACAGAACTAGAACAGAAGTAGAACAGAACTAGAGCAGAACTAGAACAGAACTAGAACAGAACTAGAACAGAACTAGAACAGAACTAGAACAGAACTAGAACAGAACTAGAACAGAACTAGAACAGAACTAGAACAGAACTATAACTGAGAACTTTTAGCCGCTCCACAGTGACAGAGCAATGTTTCAAAGCACCAGGAATAGTAGGGAAGACTGGCTCGGGAAAAGAACAGCCATCGAACTGAACCTTCCAAAGTCATCGTGCTCAGTAGAGATCTTTGAGAATGTTACGTCTAAGGATGTTCGTCAAATAAAGAGATGTGGAAGTCATTGCGCCCGGCAGGTCACCTTTAAGTGGTAAACATCGATCGAAATGATCTCGATGGGGGGATTAGTAACAATTATTTGGAAGTAGGCTCTGTGATAAAATAGTATCAGTGGCATCTCTTTATTTCTTCTTTATATATTAAAAGATACGATTAACAGTAATTATTTCTGTAAGTATATACAATCTCATCATAGAGATGATGGCTCCCAAAAAAATATTATCTGTTTCATTTTTATTATCAACCTAAATAATACGATATTAAAAACAAGAAAGACAGGAAAAGAATATGTTTAAATAAAATTCACTACTGGAAAAAATATAAAAATTAAACATAAAATATTCAAGGATTGCGACGAAGGCAAAAATATCCCCCCCAAAAAAGTAAGGTTCACAAGGTTAAAGAAAAGTAAAGAAAACAGCAAACTGACACACATACACACTTATAGGGAATACGACCACCGACATGAGTTGAAGTAATTAAAATAACAACAATGTATATTGTGCATGAGTAAGACCGAAAAGTACATTTCCTTTTATGCATGTCCTTGTGCCAATCAAAAAAAAAAAAAAAAAAACAAACCACACTTAAATGTATAATAAGAAAACGAAGAAGTGAGTGGGAGAAAAAAAAAAACTGGAAACGGAAGTTGAATAAACCTGATTTCAATTAAAAATTTAAATCAATTTTTATGTTACCGGTTTTATTATACAAAATTTACATAAAAGAAATACAACTGTTACTTAAACAATTGAATTAAATAATACACTAGCAGCCACTTACCTTTAAACGTTTATTCCTTACTGTAACACCATTTAATGACTTGATCGCATTTTGGGCATCAATTTCGGAAGCAAAATCAACAAAAGCATAACCAAAACTGTAGCCAGTCTGTTGCAATTTCATTTTACAGTTTATTGTTGTTATTATTGTTGTATTCCCAAAAGGACACCCACCGCCAACACACCCACACAGATTGTTAAATTTAACGTGATGAGATAATAAAAACAATGGCGTTTGATTATACAAGTGAGTATGTTTGTGTGTGGAAAAATTGAAAAAGAAAGGTGGGAAATATAAGAATTAAAAAAATGTATATTTTAATATTTAAAGAATTTAAATAAGTTTCAACAGATATTACAGGTTGAACACAACAAATGCGGGACAGTTTAAATTTTTTATCTAGGCTGTAGAGTTTAGTCTATAGAGACCAACTACAAACTAAACAAAAGTCTAGACGATACTATAGTTCAGATAGACTAGAATGGAGATTAGATTATGGACCAGACTAAAGACCACACTATAGACTAGACTAGATTATAGACTAGACTAGACACTAGACTATTGACCAGACTACAGACTAGATACTGGACTATAGACTGGACTATAGACTGGACTATAGACTAGACTATAGACTATACTATAGACTAGACTATAGACTATACTATAGACTAGACTATAGACTATACTATAGACTAGACTATAGACTAGACTATAGACTTGACCATAGACTAGACTATAGGCTAGACTATAGACTAGACTGTAGACTAGACTATAGACTTGACTATAGACTAGACTAGAGACTAGACTATAGACTAGACTATAGACTAGACCATATACCTGACTATAGATTAGACTAAAGACTAGACTATAGAGTTAACGATAGACTAGACTATAGACTTTACTAAAGACTAGATTATAGACTAGACTATAGAATAGACTATACCCTAGAATATAGACTATAGTGCAGACTGTAAACTAGACTATATTCCAAACTGTAGACTAGACTATAGTCCAGACTATAGACCAGACTACAGTCCAGATTGTAGACCAGACTATAGTCCAGACTATAGTCCAGACTGTAGACTAGACTATAGTCCAGACTATAGACTAGACTATAGTCCAGAATATAGACTACACTATAGTCCAGACTATAGACTAGACTATAGTCCAGACTATAGTCCAGAATACAGACTAGACTATAAGTCAGAAAAAGATTAAAGTCCAAACTATAGACTTGACTATATTCCAGACTATACACTAGTCTATAGGTTATATATATAGACTATAGTATAGACTTGACTGTAGACTAGACTATAGACTAGACTGTAGACTAGACTATAGACTAGACTATAGACTAGACTATAGACTAGACTATAGACTAGACTATAGACTAGACTATAGACTAGACTATAGACTAGACTATAGACTAGACTATAGACTAGACTATAGACTAGACTATAGACTAGACTATAGACTAGACTATAGACTAGACTATAGACTAGACTATAGACTAGACTATAGACTAGACTATAGACTAGACTATAGACTAGACTATAGACTAGACTATAGACTAGACTATAGACTAGACTATAGACTAGACTATAGACTAGACTATAGACTAGACTATAGACTAGACTATAGACTAGACTATAGACTAGACTATAGACTAGACTATAGACTAGACTATAGACTAGACTATAGACTAGACTATAGACTAGACTATAGACTAGACTATAGACTAGACTATAGACTAGACTATAGACTAGACTATAGACTAGACTATAGACTAGACTATAGACTAGACTATAGACTAGACTATAGACTAGACTATAGACTAGACTATAGACTAGACTATAGACTAGACTATAGACTAGACTATAGACTAGACTATAGACTAGACTATAGACTAGACTATAGACTAGACTATAGACTAGACTATAGACTAGACTATAGACTAGACTATAGACTAGACTATAGACTAGACTAGACTATGGACTAGACTATAGGCTAGACTATAGACTAGACTATAGACTAGACTATAGACTAGACTCTAGACTAGACTATAGACTAGACTATAGACTAGACTTTAGACTAGACTATAGACTAGACTATAGACTAGACTATAGACTAGACTATAGACTAGACTATAGACTAGACTATAGACTAGACTATAGACTAGACTATAGACTAGACTATAGACTAGACTATAGACTAGACTATAGACTAGACTATAGACTAGACTATAGACTAGACTATAGACTAGACTATAGACTAGACTATAGACTAGACTATAGACTAGACTATAGACTAGACTATAGACTAGACTATAGACTAGACTATAGACTAGACTATAGACTAGACTCTAGACTAGACTATAGACTAGACTATAGACTAGACTATAGACTAGACTATAGACTAGACTATAGACTAGACTATAGACTAGACTATAGACTAGACTATAGACTAGACTATAGACTAGACTATAGACTAGACTATAGACTAGACTATAGACTAGACTATAGACTAGACTATAGACTAGACTATAGACTAGACTATAGACTAGACTATAGACTAGACTATAGACTAGACTATAGACTAGACTATAGACTAGACTATAGACTAGACTATAGACTAGACTATAGACTAGACTATAGACTAGACTATAGACTAGACTACAGACTAGACTATAGACTAGACTATAGACTAGACTATAGACTAGACTATAGACTAGACTATAGACTAGACTATAGACTAGACTATAGACTAGACTATAGACTAGACTATAGACTAGACTATAGACTAGACTATAGACTAGACTATAGACTAGACTATAGACTAGACTATAGACTAGACTATAGACTAGACTATAGGCTAGACTATAGGCTAGACTATAGACTAGACTATAGACTAGACTATAGACTAGACTATAGACTAGACTATAGGCTAGACTATAGACTAGACTATAGACTAGACTATAGACTAGACTATAGACTAGACTATAGACTAGACTATAGACTAGACTATAGACTAGACTATAGACTAGACTATAGACTAGACTATAGACTAGACTATAGACTAGACTATAGACTAGACTATAGACTAGACTATAGACTAGACTATAGACTAGACTATAGACTAGACTATAGACTAGACTATAGACTAGACTATAGACCATGCTATAGACTAGACGATAGTCCAGTCTATAGTTTGTGCAGATTATAGACTAAATTCACACATACTACACTTTAGTCCAAACTTCACCGTAGTCCTGTTTTAATTTTCTGAACGATATCTTTTAATTTAAATTTTTTCACTGTTCACTTTTTGTTGTGCACCACCTGTTATTTAACTTAAAATTTCACCTGCGCAAAGCTAGTGAGTGACTTTCAAAATGTACTGGTGAACTTTTAAGATAAATAATTTAGACAATATTTTTGACGATGACACTAATGTCTGTACTGAAATGTATGTGTCCTAGAATAATGTTGACAGCAGATATTTTTAGAAAAAAAAGAGATAATAATGACAAGTAAATCTGAAAAGATTTAGTACAATATTAATCTAATTTAAAGGTTAAAAAGAACATAATTTTAAAGGATTTATAAATTTTTGAAGGAGAGGTGGATTAAAGTTGAATTTTGCCTATTCACTATTCTAAAACACATCATCTGAGTAAAAACTAAATTAATGAAAATTCTATATAGAAAAGAAAACCTTACCTTATAGTCTTTCATGATACGACAGGTATTGATAGGACCACACGTCCTAAATAATGCATACAGTTCACGATCTGTCATATCTTGAGGCAAATAATTCACAATTAGATTCGTACCATTACAGCCCTGTGTATCACCACAATCGCCGCCCCCGCTATTCACCGAATTTGTGCTAATCGCTGGTGCCATGTTGCACATTGAGCCCATGGCACTGCCACCACCTGAAAAATCATTATAACCACCGCCACGACCACCGCGATGATTCATTGCTGAGGGACCTGGATACGATGAGGTGAAATCTGTGTCCTGTGGTGAAAACGCATAACGTGACTGAAATATCAAGTCAAAGAATTTTGGAAACATTTATTTTGTAGATGGCGCTTTTGTCTATTTTACACTGTTGAGGTTTTTGAGGTTTTTATTTTTTATTTATTTGTTAATTAATCGTTGCATTATATTATATAGTTTTCATATTTCACAAACAAGTTTAAACAAAATATATTTTTTGTTGCAATTGCATACGATTTTAATTGTTTTGTTTTTTTACATTGCAAAATTTTTTGTAAACCGTTTTGAACAATTAAAGGAAAAAGTGGGGGATTAAAGTTGTAATATTTTCAAGAACTTTTGTAACAGTTTTGTATTTTTCAGTATTATTTATATATTTTTTTCTTTAGTTGGCAAATCAAAATTCAAATTACAACACACTTTACATTAACTATTTTACAGAACGAAAAAATAAGAATGGTTTCAATTGTAATTTATTTTAAAACGAAATTATAACAATCACAACAACAACAATTTGCAAGCTTTTTTTCTAAAGGTAAATGTGGTAAAAAATATATTTTTTATATATAAAAAGGTGGTTTTTCAAATGAAATTTTTAAAACAAAAGGATTTTTGAGATGAAAACATAAAAATATAAATTATGAATTTTAATTGTAAATACACCATTTCCTAAGACTAACCTATAGTCCAGACTGTAGCCTGAACTATTGTCTAGCCTATAGACTAAACTGTAGTCCAGACTATAGACTATAGTCTAGACGATAGCCTATAGTCCAGACTGTAGACTAAATTATGATGCAGACGATAGACTAAACTATAATCCAGACTATAGACTATAAAGTCCACACTATAGACTAAACTATAACCCAGACTATAAACTAAACTACAGTCCAGATTATAAACTAAACTATAGCCCAGATTATAGACTATATAGACCAAACTATAGTCCAGACTATAGACTAAACTGTAGTCCAGACTATACTCAAAAATATAGTCCAGACTATAGACTAAACTACAGTCCAGACTATAGTCTAAACTATAGTCCAGACTATAGACTAAACTAAAGTCCAGACTATGGACTAAATTACAGTTTAGACGATAGACTAAACTATAGTCCAGACTATAGACTAAACTATAGTCCAGACAATAGACTAAACTATAGTCCAGACTATAGACTAAACAGTAATCCAGATTAGATTCTAAACTACAGTCCAGACGATAGACTAAACTATAGTCCAGATTATAGAATAAACTATAGTCCAGATTATAGAATAAACTATAGTACAGACTACAGACTAAATTATAGTCCAGACTATAGCCCAAACTATACACTAAACTATAGTACAGACGATAGACTAACTTGTAGTCCAGATTATAGAATAACTATAGTCCAGAAGATAGACTAAACTACAGTGTAGTCCATTCTATACACTAAACTGTAGTCCACACTATGGACTAATCTAAGTTCAGATTATAGACTAAACTATAATCCAAACTATACACTAAACTATAGTCCAGACTAAAGACTAAACAATAGTCCGGACTATAGACTAAACTACAGTCCAGATTATAGACTATATAGATATATAGACTAAGCGATAGTCCAGACTATAGACTAAACTGTAGTATAGACTATAGACTAAACTATTGCCCAGACTATAGATTAAACTACAGTCCAGACTATAGACTAAACTATATTCCAGACTATAGACTAAACTATAGTTCAGACTATATACTAAACTATAGTCCAGACGATAGACTAAACTATAGACCAGACTCAAGACTTAACTATAGTCCAGACTATAGACCAAACTATAGTCCAGACGATAGATTACTCTATATTCCAGAACTGTAGCCCAGACTATAAACTAAACTATAGTCCAGACTATAGCCCAAACTATATTCCAGACGATAGACTACACTATAGCCCAGACTATAGACTTAACTATAGTCCAGGCTGTAGACCAAACTATAGTCCAGACGATAGACTACACTATATTCCAGACGATAAACTTTCCTATAGTCGAGACTATAGACTAAAGTATAGTCCAGACGATAGACTAAACTACAGCGCAGACTATAGACTAAACTATAGCCCAGACTATAGACTCAACTATAGTGCAGACGATGGACTAAACTATAGTCCAGACGATAGACTAAACTATAGTCCAAACTATAGACTAAACTATAGACTAAACAATAGTCCAAACTTTAGACTAAACTACTGTCATGGCTATGTATAGACTGACTATAGTTCAAACTAGAGACTAGACTATAGTCCAGACCATAAACAAGGCTATAGTCCGGATTATAGACAAGACTATAGAGGAAATGGTGTAATCCTTTTTTTTGTGTTATTTCCAAAGGTTAAATAAAACAATGAAAAAAAACTAATTAATGAATTAAATACGAAATGGTGCTTAACGCTAGAAAACTACAAAAACAAACTATAATTTTTAATAAATAATTTAATGGTTTATGATTTTGTTAAACTAATTTCTAAAAATAGTGAAAAAAAGCATTCCTCATACCACTAAGTTTAAACAAAAACTATATTGAAAGAAATATGTTTAAATTTAAATTTTTGGAAATTTTTAAAGCAGGATTTAATATTATTTTTTTTTTTTTTTCAACAAATTTATTGACTCAAACAAAAGGATAGGGCGCACTTTATTAAATAGCCAATTGTAGAAAATTTAATTAAATTTTTATAGATTTAATTGGTGTTTTTGTTGTTAATGTTTGTTTTTTTTTTCAATTAGAGTTTTGTGGTGGGTTTTTAAAAAATTGTTTTCATTAATTATTGTAGAAAATTTGAGGGAAATTAAATAACTAAATTATTGTTTTACATAAATAAAAAAACTAAATTTTATTTTAATAAACTAATTAAAAATTGTTTAAATATTAATAATATATTGTTGTAGCAGTATTTATGTATGAGTTAGTGGTATAAATATTTGGATTATATATACATAGGATGGTTAAGGTTTATATATAGATTTATGGGGATTTAATAACTAAATGGCTTTAAGCCTTAAAAGAAGTTGAGTTATAGTTTAGGAAAGCTTATTAACATTACTTTTATAGAATATATATATTCAAGGATATATCTAAAACTCACTAATTTATAAACATATAATTTTTTTTTTATTAAACTTATAAATTCTAAGACCAGCCCTATCGTTTCCGTGATAGTCACCGATCTACAAACTTATATTTTCTTTTAAATCAGTACAACAATACCCTTATTCTTAATTAACTATTCATTTTTGTTTGATCAAACAACTATTTGGTTTTTGAAACTAAACTAAAGTACTGATTAAAGACTAGATTATAGCCCAGACTAAAGATTATACTTTAGTCTGAACTAGAATATAGTAGAGACCTAAGTCTACACCATAGTTCAAACTATAGACTACACTATTGTACAGACTATAGTCCAGACTGTAGTCCAGCCTTAAAATTAGACTACATTCCAGACTAAAGACTAGACTATAGTCCAGACTATATAGACTAAACTATATACTAGACTAGACTATAGTCCAGACTATAGACTAGACTATAGTCCAGACTATAGACTAGACTATAGTCCAGATTATAGACTAGACTATAGTCCAGACTATAGACTAGACTATAGTCCAGACTATAGACTAGACTATAGTCCAGACTATAGACAAGACTATAGTCCAGACTATAGACTAGACTATAGTCCAGACTATAATCCAGACTATAGACTAGACTAGACTATAGTCCAGACTATAGACTAGACTAGACTATAGTCCAGACTATAGAGTAGACTATAGTCCAGACTATAGACTAGACTATAGTTCAGACTATAGACTAGACTATAGTCCAGACTATAGACTAGACTATAGTCCAGACTATAGACTAGACTATAGTCCAGACTATAGACTAGACTATTGTCCAGACTAAAGATTAGACTACAGTCCAAACGAGGCAATAGCCAAGACTTAAGACTAAACTACAGTCTAGACTTAAGACTAAAATACCATCCAGACTAAAGACTAAATTATAGCCCAGACTATATATTAGACTATTGTCCAGACTAAAGACTAGACTATAAGCCAGACCTGAGACTAGACTACAGTCCAGACTATAGACTATTGCCCAGACTAAAGACTAGACTATAACCCAGACTATAGACTAGACTATAGCACAGACTATAGACTATTGCCCAGACTAAAGACTAGACTATAACCCAGACTATAGACTAGACTATAGCACAGACTATAGACTAGACTATTGTCCAGACTAAAGACTAGACTATAACCCAGACTTAAGACTAAACTACAATTCAGAATAAGACTAGACTATACTCCAGACTAAAGACTAGACTGTAGTCTAGACTACAGTATAGACTATAGTCCAAACTAAAGACTAGACTATAGATTAAACTATAGTCCAGACTATTGCCCAGACTATCGTCCAGACTAAAGATTAGACTATAGCCCGGACTTAGGACTAGACTACAGTTCAAACTATAGACCAAAATAAGAACCTGATCTTTAGTCCAGACTAAAGATTAGGCTATAGGCTAAGTCGAAAAAATAGTCTAGAAGAATTAAATAAACATAATATCAACAGAACTAAAGTGTTTCAGAAACTTTTCCAAATGATCCTGTGAACCAGTCATAATTTAAAAAGAATATTTAAATGTATATACTTTGACTCAAAGTCACAAAAACTTGTAGAACTGTTAGATAAATGGTAAATATCTATAGAACTAAAGCGTTTCAGAAAATGTTGAAAATGGTCCTTCGAACCAGACTTCTTCTAAAAAGAATATTTAAATCAAAAATGCTTCTATTCTCTAGAACAAAACACTAGAAAGATTAGATAAATGATTATAACAAGAATATTAAAACATATCAGAATGTTTTCTAAATGGTCCTTCGAACTAGACTAAATTTAAGATTGACAACACGTGGCCATGTGAACCATCAGTCTAAAGTAAAAGTTCTCAAAAACAGTAAGGGAAACCATAATTTATTTTATATTTCCAGAGTATTAAAGCTTTTTGTAACTTAAAAAAGTAGTCCTATAAACCAGACTTAATTTAAGAAGAACAT